CGGTTTTACGTGGCAGGTGGGCTCCAGCAGTGGGGGGGAAGGGAGAGCAGCCAGCCTGGCCTCAGGGACAAGAGCTGCCACAGGCTTTGCCAGGACTCAGGGTGAGCCGGCCCCCCTCCTTCCCCGGGAACCCAGGAGTCCTGGCTGCCCTCTTGCAAAACGCAGGGCGCGAGGCCGTAGGTGCCCTCCAGGAAGCCAGCTGTTGGGGGCAGCCATCTTGAAAGAGGGCAGCATTGTGGGCAAAAATAAATGACCTTTAGTCCTAAAAAGAAGCTGCCCGTGGTGCACACACTTGCTCTCTCTATTCCCATGCACTCTGTCTGTCTGTCTGTCTATCCATCCCCATACGCGTCTGTCTGTCTATCCCCATACACACACTTGCTCTCTCTATTCCCATGCACTCTGTCTGTCTGTCTGTCTATCCATCCCCATACGCGTCTGTCTGTCTATCCCCATACACACACTTGCTCTCTCTATTCCCATGCACTCTGTCTGTCTGTCTGTCTATCCATCCCCATACGCGTCTGTCTGTCTATCCCCATACACACACTTGCTCTCTCTATTCCCATGCACTCTGTCTGTCTGTCTGTCTATCCATCCCCATACGCGTCTGTCTGTCTATCCCCATACACACACTTGCTCTCTCTATTCCCATGCACTCTGTCTGTCTGTCTGTCTATCCATCCCCATACGCGTCTGTCTGTCTATCCCCATACACACACTTGCTCTCTCTATTCCCATGCACTCTGTCTGTCTGTCTGTCTATCCATCCCCATACGCGTCTGTCTGTCTATCCCCATACACACACTTGCTCTCTCTATTCCCATGCACTCTGTCTGTCTGTCTGTCTATCCATCCCCATACGCGTCTGTCTGTCTATCCCCATACACACACTTGCTCTCTCTATTCCCATGCACTCTGTCTGTCTGTCTGTCTATCCATCCCCATACGCGTCTGTCTGTCTATCCCCATACACACACTTGCTCTCTCTATTCCCATGCACTCTGTCTGTCTGTCTGTCTATCCATCCCCATACGCGTCTGTCTGTCTATCCCCATACACACACTTGCTCTCTCTATTCCCATGCACTCTGTCTGTCTGTCTGTCTATCCATCCCCATACGCGTCTGTCTGTCTATCCCCATACACACACTTGCTCTCTCTATTCCCATGCACTCTGTCTGTCTGTCTGTCTATCCATCCCCATACGCGTCTGTCTGTCTATCCCCATACACACACTTGCTCTCTCTATTCCCATGCACTCTGTCTGTCTGTCTGTCTATCCATCCCCATACGCGTCTGTCTGTCTATCCCCATACACACACTTGCTCTCTCTATTCCCATGCACTCTGTCTGTCTGTCTGTCTATCCATCCCCATACGCGTCTGTCTGTCTATCCCCATACACACACTTGCTCTCTCTATTCCCATGCACTCTGTCTGTCTGTCTGTCTATCCATCCCCATACGCGTCTGTCTGTCTATCCCCATACACACACTTGCTCTCTCTATTCCCATGCACTCTGTCTGTCTGTCTGTCTATCCATCCCCATACGCGTCTGTCTGTCTATCCCCATACACACACTTGCTCTCTCTATTCCCATGCACTCTGTCTGTCTGTCTGTCTATCCATCCCCATACGCGTCTGTCTGTCTATCCCCATACACACACTTGCTCTCTCTATTCCCATGCACTGTGTCTGTCTGTCTGTCTGTCTATCCATCACCATACGCATCTGTCTGCTTTTGTCTAAAGGACTCCCAAAATATGTGACTGCACAAAAATGTATTCACAGGCTTTGGCGAAATAAATGTTTAATGTAAAGACCATCACACTTAGCCATAAGTATTCTTTTTCATAACCTGATAAATACAGTGCTAGTGTTTAGACACAATGTACATTATGTTCTCCTTTCTGTGTCCTGAGGTAATAGAGCAATAATCAGAATCCCATCGCTATCCTTAGATACTGAGAGAGAGATGAAAGAGAAGACATACTTGCAATCTGGTAGTTCCTAATAATGTCAAAGGTAAAGATATGTGCTGAAGAAAAATTAGGGGAGCGAATGGATTAAAAGAGATGCAAGAACAGTGTTTTAAAAAGATCATTTGTGCAGGGACTTTCAGAAAAAGGTGTTCATAAACAGTCCATAGATGTAAAAATATGACATAATAATGTGTGCCACCATGGCAAATCTGGTGTTCTGCTGAGCTACAGTTTCATAGCAAAAGTGAAAATTGTCTGGTGGCTGGTGACAGCATTACACTATTGATGCCAATATTCAGATGTTTTTGTAATTGGAAAAGGGTGTATGTAATCTCAAGACCAGAGCCTGCACCCCCACCCCCCTACCCAGCCTGGTGCAAGCGAGTGAGGATGGGGGGGGAGGGGAATGGGATGAGCAGGGGGAGGCCTCGGAGAGGGGGTGGGAAGGCCGTGGGGCCAGGCTCTTCAGGTGGGAGGGAGATCTCATGTCGCACTTACATGGAAGAAGTGATCTTGTGGTTCAAAAGGTTGGAGACCATTGCCTTTGCCCTAACCACCCCTCACTCCCCAACCCAAACCTAACCCTAAGCCTAACCCAGTGATCAGCAACCAGAAGATCAGGATCTGCTGGTAGATCTTGGAGCCCCTAACAGGGTAACCCTAACTGGTTTGGCCAAGAGGCTATCAAGTGCCAGCGCTTCAACTGCCCTTCTCCCCACTGCTGTACATCGCCTGCCTTGGAACTGTCTCCTCAGGATCTGCCTGCTTTCTGTGCAGGGCAGGGGAGAGAGAGGAAAGGCGCTGGCATCAGGGTGCCCCCTCTCCCACGCTGAATCCTAGTTTTAAATGGAAACCCAGTTGTGCACCTTAGTTAAATGAAACAGTTAACATGGGTGTAAAAGTTCAAAGCTTTACAGCTTTTAAAACATCTCTAGGCATGATTCTGATGTTGACTGTTATTTCCAATATACTAATTGAATTAATGGTTGCGCTAGCTTTCAGCTGGAGCTCCAAACTTCCAGCGGACAAAAATGCGGTCCAGTATTTTTTCTGGAGTGGACTAAGGGATAGGGAATTCACCTGGAGAGCACAGGGTGGTGGGTTCAAGTCCGGCCCCCCCCAGGCTCCTCAAGGCCTGCCCTGCCCCGTCTCCCTCCTTTCCCCTCTCCCCCATTGTGTCAGGCATACTAAAGGTTTCCAGTAAAATATGACCATTGCCTCGTAAATTCATATCAACAAAGAGAAGTCCCATATAATTGGACCTTGGTGCAGAAATAGGGAAGCGCTGTATTACTTCAAGTTGAAACAAATGGTTAAAGGTTTTGTTCATGTCTACTCACCAGCAATCTGTTTATGCAGTCAATGAATGCACTGTTTTCTACAGTACAGTGAGTGTTTTCTGGCATGGCTGGAACTCCTAATCACAGAAGTCCAGTCATAGCAGCGGCTACTCAGGCCTCTAACACAACCCCATAGTAGAACTAAAGAGACCTAGTCAACACAGGATAAATTGCTTGTGTTCACTGGAGCAAAAGTATTTCTTTGGAATTCACCTCAAAGAAAACTGGTGCTCAGCATTACACTTTTTCAGACAAACTGAATAGAAAGGCACTGTTACTGAAGCAGGACATTTTTTTCATCTCCTTGTAAAAAGAAGTGATGGTTTTGAACAACTAGCCACTGTTTTCCTAAGAAGGCTTCTTTGTTACCCAATGGTAATTTAATGCCTTATGATAAAAGCTTGTTTAATGTAAAAGTTGCTTTATCCTAACCATGTAATTTAAAGATTTTAAAGTGAGAACCAAGACACTAGTTCATCATAGTATGTGTGTGTTATAAAATTAAGAGATCATTTACTTCAAGCAGACATGTCCAAACAGCTAACTTCTCAAACTATACAAAAATAAACAGTATGAAATCCCACAAAGGGATAAAAGCTAATAACAAAAAAATTTATACACTTATAAGCATAAGCAATGCAGCCTATAGTAAGTTCAATAAACAGGTCCTCAGGAATATGTCTGAAAGAGATCAGCTAAAATCAGAACAATTACAAGCACAAGAATGTCTCCAATTTATTATCTTTACAACAGTACAAATTTTCATAAACCAAACATCCTTTGCCTATCAAAGTCTGTAAACAAGTGCTTGTATTCTCCCCCTCCCCACTTTAAGCATATGAATGGTTAAAGTTCTTCAATCAAGTTTCAATCCATTGCTTGCCTAAGGAATCAAGAGTTTCTTCTCTTGTTAAATTATCTATATATTTTATCATACATCCTGCAATGCAGTAAAATCACAGTGAAAGCCCTGGGAAAATATGGTCTTTACAGCAGGACTTGAACTGTTCTAATATAGATGCATCTAATGAAATGTCTCATAATAAAAGTGTGAGGTTTCCATTTCCCGAAATCAAGTCATTTCGAAATCGTAGGTTCTATTTAAAACCCCAAACAGATCTAAAATTGTAAAGACCCATTTCCTCAGTCATTTATAAATCTTACAGTTTCACTTGCAGAGAGATACTTTTCCAGTCTGGAAAACAGTAGTGCAATTTAATTAATTTTACTTTTTTTAAGTTACTTAAGTCCAGTAGGTAAATGTTATAGCTCCATGGAAAGATAAGAAGATGATCTGGTAAACAAGAAATGTTGTCAAGCCCATGTAGGCTTACTAGTCCATTAAAGCTTGTAAGTCCAAAGTGGCATTTTACAAAAGTTATATGTAACTAAAAACAAAGCAGAAATAAATAGGCAGAAATGACTAAACTGTCTGAACTTTTGATTTCTGACATGATCTTTAACTTTAGAGTCATTTAAATAATAGAGTTGACCTATTGGGCATTCCACCATGACAAACGGTCTGGAAGACCCAAATGGAACTATGTTCCTAAAGTTTAGAAAGTCTAACACTGCCACTGTTATGGGCTACTTCTCCATGCCTCACTTTGATTTTTTCTTGAAGAGGCTTTTTATTTTTGACGGCTTTTTGTTTTTTTCACCATTCTGGCATAGGTCATGTGGGATGCTACTTATCCTAGGGACAGTGGAGACTTGATGAATGGGTTTACTTTCACTGTTGGCCGAGGAAGAAGAGGTATGGCGAGGCTTTGGGACTGGGGTTGCGCTAGAAAGCTGGTTCATGCTGCAGGACTTTTCCAAGATGCCATTGTACACTTTGTTTGCAGGACTAAATATCATGCTCTTTGTTTCTGTTAATCCTGCACAGTCAGGAGAACCCCTGGAAATATCTGCAGTTAGCGATGAGGAGTCTCCTGTGGATGATTCCTCTTGAGACAGTTCCTCCCGGGATACCTTTTGTGGAGACAGAGTTTGGTACATCTCAAGAGTTGATGGAGGAGACTGTTTCCTTCCAAAGGACGAGTTTAAGGAGTCACACTCTGAACCTGCATTCTGTACATCCCTAAGTAAAAACAGAGAAAGAAACTGTTACATAAAAATTGCCTTTATGCAATAGGGGGTGGGGGGAGGCGA